TGCACCCTGGTCCGATCATCAGAAAGCAGGAGACCCAAGAACTAGAAAGGCGAAGCTCATGGAGCCATTTATCTCTCTGTCCTTCAATTAACCCCACATGTGTTTATCGGCCAGGTTGGCACAATAAACTAACCAACTCAGCTTGTGAGTGAGCAGGACTAATTAATGCATAGCATACTTGTGCTTTCATTTATAGGCTAACTTGTTCAAAATCTCAACACTGGTTAGGGCTAATGATAGGGATCTAACACATAGTGTCAAATCACAGAGCTACATGTCCTTTGCTTCACACTGTATCTTGATAGCTTTGTGTTTGGTCTTCTTCTGTAGGGTCTCTGAAGGTTGGCCAACAGGGTCTTGGGTAGAAAGACTGCCCAACTCAGAGCTAACCTAAGAAAAATATTTTCCTTGTTTAACTGATTTTGGAAATCTCATGAGATGAAAAGGGATTACTCTTCAGCTAAAGTGAAATGATCCTAACAGTAATACCCAATTAGTCTTGTCAAACACAAGGTTATATCAACATCTCTCTTGCCTTTCTGGTGGATTTGGAATTCTATCTGGGTCTGAAATTTTAAAACCTCCAAGCTCTGGATCTGAGCCTCAGACTTAACCATATATCCCAGCATTGGCCAATAAGTTCATTTCAAGACATAAATGACCATCAAATTCATGAAACTACCTGTCTCTTCAAAGGAACAGGAGATTCTGAGGTTCCATAAACTCTCAAGTGGCCACTGACCAGACTAGCACTAGCAATTGAGTTCTACAACTCAATGAAATCATCAACCATGCAGCCTTATGAGTTTTAACAGAGAATGGAAGGGTGGATGTGTTAATACAGTTGAGTCATCCAGATCATCAAGGGGAAAGATAAATAAACCAACACTCCAATTAATTTTAACCTGAGAATAAAGTGGTTGTGAATGGTACTTCAGCCAAGTCTGCAGGGTCTGACAACCTTTATTATTCACAGTGCCAATTGCTTTTACTGCTCTTTTGGTAACTCCTAAATGCCTCCATCCAGTTCCCTCTTCCTTTTACTTATCCTCTCTCCATCACCTTCTTGCTTCACGTCTCTCTTTCCTGTATTCTTGAAGCACTAAGAAGAAATTAAAAGATACAGTGTCTGGGGATAGAAAGGGAGTACTGATCACAATGACTGATGTATAACAGCACCAATCCACCCTGGGGTGACGAACAATAGAAACATGGGTGAAGGGAGACAGCTGACAATGTGAGCTCTGAAAATAATAATAATTTGTAATTTTTCAAGGGACAGGGGAAAAAAAAGAAGCTGATACCAAGGTTTCAAGTAGAAAGAAAATGTTCTGTTTCTTTTAAATCATTTTATTAAGGGCTCATGCTACTCATCACAATCCATATCTACATCAATTGTGTAAAGCACATTTGTACATTCGTTGCCCTCATCATCCTCAAAACATTTGCTCTCCACCTAAGCCCTTGGCATGAGCTCCTCATTTGTATGGATTGTTACAAGAGTTGTAAGAGCTCTCAATAAAGTGATTTATTAAAATAAAAAAAACTAAAGAAGAAATTTCTGGAAATGGCCTTCCATTCACCCAATTTTTTCCTTTGAAAAATTATTAATGAATCTTTCATTTGTATTGACTCTTCTTAAGTCCCCAAATCACTTGACCTGTTATCTAAAGATATCAGAGACCCATGGAGAAACAGCTTAGGTCTTGTTAAAGATGAAGGTCACTGCTCCACAAAGAAAACCAGTCACTAGGGAATCTGACCAGAAAAGCACACTGCTTTGAGCACATTAGATGATCATCCTTTTAATGGATCTCAAAGAGATATGCCCAATATGTATAGAAATAAGGCTCCACCATTGGATTTTCACTCCTTCTCTAGAGCTGCCACAAGTGATAATGAATATTTCAGCCAGTGAAATGAGAAGTTGTATTACTGTAAGGGCAATTAAATGACTGCAGGAGCCGGTACAGCCAGCCCCCAGCTGCAAGAACAAAATCTTCCCTGTCCCAGATGTTGCCTGATGCTACCTGGACTGGTGGTTGCTTTGGCATCCCTTATCAACGGGTGATTCTAGATCCTTTGACTGTAGGACTAATCCAGGAAAGTGGCAAGGATTCCAGGAACATTCTGATCCTGTCTGATTGCCCAGATCCCAAGGAGATTGGGCTTGGAGAACACGAGAGACAATATAACCCGACCCTCTGCGTTTCTGCTTCCAAAGGCAAGGTTATGATAACACTCCCCTCACGCCCTCCATACAAACACCCTCCCAAGCCTCAAAACACTGTCAGTGAGCCAATGGCGACTGAAAGCAACCCTTTAGGACAGAGTAGAACTACCCCTTTGGGTTTCTGAGACAGTAAATCTTTCTTGACTTATTTGTTAGCAGCTCAGGGCATAATCCACGATAACGGGGCTCTCCTATTGACACACACACATCAGATACAAAGAAATGGACCCTTATTAGCTAAAACTTGGCAAGAGGCCACAACACATGGCCATTCTCAGTCCACGGGGAACCTGTGATGGCCAGAACAGCTTTATTAAGACTGCTTGTTTTTCTGGGTTTTTTACAAGTTTTCCACTTTTGACAGAATTCAGTCACGCCACTCTTTCGTTACTTGTTTTAGTGGAACATGAGAGTGTTCCTTCTTTGGCAGGTTCTTGCTTTATATAGACTCTAGTTTTCACAGGTTTTACTATTTCCGATTTTACATCACGAATTGGATTTGCGGGTCTGCAATCGCAGAAACTGTCAGTCTTTCCCTTTCTCTCTTGTTTTACTACAGTTGCTCTATATCTGAGATGATTCAGTTCCATGGACACAACACAACTGGGGCTCAACTGATTTAATTATCCCTAGATGTATCTTCTCTGAAATTAGAATCT